TCAGTTAGCAAATTCTATGTCCAAATTTTTAGCACCAATTATCTGACCTATATAGAAGTAATAATAATAACATGCTGCTAACTGGGGAGATATAATGTTCTCCTTCTTGAGGAAAAAGGACACAAACAGTCACAAATAGAAATATTTCTCATTGGTGAGGAAGTAGATGAGATTATGTGTAAGTAAGGATCACACAAAAGGATTATATATATTAAACATTTCTTACACAATTAAAACAGTCACAAAATATTTTACTGGTGCATGTAGATCTTACTATATAAGTTTAATATCCTTCAAGAGGACCAAGGATATATGTGTATATATATATTCTAACATATATATATCACAATAAATAAATTAAACCTTCAATTAAAAAAAAGGCAAACCCCCCAAATTTTATGTATGTTCCTAGGAATGCATAAAAAATTTATTTCATACTTGTTTTTGATAAAGGTCTCATTCAAAACAAACTTGCAATAGTGTAGTTTTTGAAAGATTTAGAAAGAGAAATCTTGAATTCTTGTCAACATCAAAGCCTTTTTTCCTTATTAGTTTTAATACCATTTGTTAAATGCAGCACATTAATTTGTGGTACATTCAGTACAGTTAGATAAATTATAATTAAGAGTCTATCTTGTTTACATTAGGTCAAAACCAGCATGTTGAGACTATTAATGGGTAATTCATTCACACAAAATACTGTTGTACACCTCACAGGAAAATAAAATGGAGTAATTATCACTTGCCTATTTGTAGGTTGGTTTCTAAAATTAAATTTCAATAACCGTTTTAGTGTAACTCAGATAATACATGGATCAGCTGTACTCAAGTGAGTTAGAATGCTTATTGCAGTAAATAAAGTTGAAAGAAAACTACAGCTGAATGTGATTACCACAGCCTTAGTCATTTCAAGTGGGCTTTCAGCCTGGGTTAATACAACACAGATATTGCTTCAAAATGATCACTCTTTTGCCTTTATTCCTACCACCTTCTTTCTTTATTCTTTTTTTTTCCCATGGCCACACAGAATCATAGTATCACAGTTTCATAGAATGGTTTGGGTTCAAAGGGACCTTATGATTATCTAGTTCCAACTCCACTGCTATGGGCAAGGATAACTTCCACTAGATCAGCTTGCTCAAAGCCCCATCCAATCTAAACTTACACTTCCAGGGATGCGGCATTCATGACTCTTCTGGGAAACCTGTTCCAATGACTCATCACTCTCACAATAAAGAATTTCTTCCTAGCATATAATGTAAATCTCTCTCTTATTAGTTTAAAACTCTTCCCCCTCGTCCTAGACCATGTAAAAAATCAGACTCCTTTTTGCTTAAAAGCTCCCTTTTCTTATAAACTCCCTTTAAGTACTAAAAGGTTGCAAAGAGGTCTCCCTGGAGCTGCTTCTTCTCCAGGCTGAATAAGCCCAACTCTCTTCATTTTTTTTCATAAGAAAGGTGCTCCAGTCATCAGAAAATTTTCATGGTACTCCAGCCATCAGATAATTTTCATGGTACTCCTCTGGACCTGTTCAAACAGGTCCATGTCTTTCTTGTACCAAGGATTTCAGACCTGGATGCAGTACCCCAGGTGGGGTCTCAGAAGGGCAGAATCACCTCCCTTGACCTGCTGATCACTCCTCTTTTGATGCAGCCCATGATCCAATTGGCCTTCTGAGCTGCAAATGCACACTGTTGACCATGTTGAGCTTTTTGTCCACTGGAACCCCCCAGACTTCTGCAGTGTTGCTATCGGTCTGTTCATCCCCCTGAGTCTGTACTCATACCTGAGATTGCCCTGACACAGGTGCAGCACCTACACTTGGACTTGTTGAACCTCATGAGGTTCTCATGTACCCACTTCTTGAGTTTGTCTAGGTTCTCCTGGAGGCATCCCATCCTTCTGTTTTGTGAACTGCATTGCTGAGCTTCATGTCACCAGGAAACTCAATCCCTCTGTCTGTGTCATTGATAAATGTACTGAAGAGCACTAGTCCCAAGACAAAGCCCTGAGAGTGACTACTCTCTGCTGGCATCCATCTAGACTTGGAGACCTTAACCACAACTCTCTGGCCACAGCCAACCTATTCCTCATGCACATAATTAACATGATCCTAACCTTTCTAAATAAAGTGTTCATCCCACAAACACTTTTAGGTAACTGTTTCTGGTGGCACTGAAGAAGGTGCTATATTGTGTCCTGCTGCAAAAGTTTTAAAAATCATTTTGAAGAGGGGTATTTCAGAGTTACAATTGGACCTGACACAGTGTTTTAGTAGAACTACAGTTAATATGTGCAGAGACCTAAGAGCACTGTATTATCAGTATAAAACCCCTCATTGGTTGTTTCACTGGAAAAGCTCCATGTAAACACTGGGCACTGAAGTGCTTAAGTACACTGAGTTTAGTATAACCACCGGTTAAATAACAGCAAGGTCAGTATTAAATCAAGGACATGTTTATATTATACCTAATTTGTGAAAATAGGAACCTGTGTATAAGTTCATATTTACAAAACACAGTGACACATAAGAAATTCTTAAAGGCTTTTAGAAATCATGTTCTAACCTCTTTCAATTTAAAGATTTAGAGACAAAGGAATGCTTTATGATGAAAATCAGCATTTTAAAGTGAAATTTTCTTAATCAACAATGCAAATAAAGCTCAGCCAACAGCCAAGTTTTATAGTCATTCTGTATAAACAAATTATTCAGTAGTTGACCTTAATTATACCTGTAAGTCAGTGCAGCTGCAAAATTAGTAGCTAGGTGAGATCATTTTAAAGTGCTATCCTTTTGTTCTATTAAAACCATAACTTTTCATATTTGAAGGGCCATGAATAATAATTAATAAGTACTTTTATGTTTAGAATTCAGACATTCTATTAACGAAATCAATCCAATATTTTTCTGTCCTTGAATAACGTGCTAGTTTCTGTTATCCTGTGACTGATAGATGATGGTGAAAACTACTGAGACTAGTAACAAAATATTTATTTCACTTCCTAAATAATAATTACTTTTTATATATGTATCTTTGAATATTTGAGAATAGTTTTCCAGTTTTATCTACCTGTAATATTTTGCTTAGTTAAAACTTCAAAAGGTTCTTTGAGCTTTCAAACATGCCTGTGTAGAATAATAGAAAGATTTACATAATTCTATGATCAGCAAATACATTACACTAAATTTTTTTTCTAACTTATTTTACATTTTTAATAATGTTACAAAAACCAGCCTGATAAGCCAAATTATTTTAAATAAGTGTGTACATAAACAAACATAAATATATATATAAAATAAATTTTTCTGCCTCCTAAGACTGCTAAAACCTATCTGGAGAAAATAGAGGTGTAAGAAAGAAATACTTACACTGGGAAATTAAAACCTGCTTTTTTAGATAAATAAATTATTCATTATTTCATATAACCAGTGAAAAATATTTTACATTTTCTTCTAAAAATTTGTCTTTATTTTTTTGCTGTTTTCATCTAATTTCTAGGTGCCCAGCTATCCTGTTCTTCAAGCAAATCTCATACATGAAGACAGAGAGTAGGATCTGCACTAAATAGCTGCATTAAGCTAAAAAAAAAGAATACTAAACTGTAACTGAGCAAAGTGCTGGGTTGTAGCGGCTGAATATATGTATAACATCCCACAGTCATAAAAGGGAGTGATAGTCAAGATCCATCATTAACCAGATTTACAAAGAGGAGGCAGCAATAGAAGGGGTACTTCAAGTCTGTTCATACAGTGGTGTGTAAAGGACGTGGGAAAATATATCCTCAGAGTAAGAGTGATCGGTATCTGGCTTACTGTGAGACTCTAAAGTTCACATCAGTCGTGTGCCAACAAGTGTAGGACATTCTCACTCTGCAAATCTGCAAGGTTATAGTTAAATGATACTAATTAGATTTTTAAAACTGTTTCAAGAGAAACTGTCCCTCTGTCATTTCATGATGTTGTCAGAACTCTCTTCATTTTGATTTTTTTTTCATTGTTCTACTGTCATTGTTCTGTACAGAAACCTACTTTTTACGGAGAAGCAATTTTTCTTATACAAGCAGCAGTTGCAATTGTCTTCACACTCCCAACTCCTATTTCTCTCTTCTTGTCACATCACCTATGCTTTATTACTTTTATTTTTATTATATGTTTTTCAAAAAGTTCTTCATTATTTTTGGTTAATAGTGGCTTAGATTGATTACAAGTCAAATAATCCTTATTAAAGTTAGCTTTTATTTTCAGTTCCTTGCCTGAAAAGTTTTCATCTGGGTTATTTGGAGGTCCGAAACTACCATTTCCATTGTCATTACTTTTTTGTGTACAAATAAAACATAGCTAGGGACATCTTTCATCTTTTTTCCAAGGTAAAAATAGTTTCAAAGGAAACAGTAAGTTAAAACTAAAATTACAATGTCCCATCAGAAGTAAGCAAATAAATGTATATTTTGGGGGTTGATATTTCTTGAATTTGAATGATTGATACATTCTGTTGGAGGGCACAGAACACATGATACCTCCTGGACATCTTTTGTACAGCAAAAAGTGCCTGAAAAGAAGTTTCAATGGACAAAAACTCTAAACCAAACAAACATAAATGCATTCTTTGATTACTTACTGTATTCTACTTGGGTTAAAAATTTTGGTCAACTGCCTAAAGCCTCAATAGTTACACTTTTAAAATTATGTGTGAACCTTTAGGCAAGTATAAGTGATAGTACAGCTGTTATTCAAAAATATGTGGTTAGGTTATTTGTATACAGATCTGATACTGAAAAAAATATCAGTGGGTTAGTTTTAAATGTATCTACAAGTGTAAACTATTTTAAGCCTCTGCAAGAGAATATACACCCAAAATACCAGGCAGTGGAAGGAATTAGGAGAATTTATTTCTGAAAGCTGAGAACACTTAACATGTCAGCATAAATAAGGAAAGACGCTCCCCTGTTCTTCTCAGGGCTTTTATTGTCCCTCAGCTCCCCTTACCACCACCACTGTGGGGGGCCTTCAAACATGTCCTCAAGAACTTCTCTTTTCTCATACCAGGGAGTCAGCTTAAGACTCTGGAATTCAAGAGGAGAAAACATCTAAAACTGCCTCTGGGAAAGACACCTCTTTCCAGGCAGGAAAGCTTTCTTAAGTGACAAACCCCCTCCTCTCCTTGTAATAAATCTTCTGGAAGGTTTTTTTTATAGTTACAGCGTCATAAAAGATTTCAAAGTTCTACTTTATGTCACTTAGACTTCAGAATTATTACTCTCCTTAGTTGCTCTGTAAGTCTTAAATTAATTTTCTAAGTGTTCCGTTCTGTAATTCTCCTCTGAACTCAGAGGTTTTCAGTATTTTATTTTTTTTCTAATGTGTAAGTCCCCCACCTGTGACATGAACTGTGCGTCATTCCTTCTTACTGACAACAATTCACTTGTAACCACTCTTTCACTTTATTCTATTCTGACCCTGTATTTCTTTTTGGAACTAAATGCAAGTAAGTGCTATTGAAGAAGCCTCATCTTTAGAGGAAACAGCATGTTCAGTTTTTGTGACCTGCAAAAGGGATATATGTTGCCTGTAGCCCTATTTGGAATAAATGGTTTGGTAGAGTGTATAAGTAATTATTGCTGCTTACTACAGGTTTGCTTTTTTCACATTACAGCAAAAATACTTTTCATCAATATGCTTAGCTCACACACAGAATGAATTAGCTGATGTCAGGAATGTGGGCTATATCCATGCACCTGACAATGGGAGTATTCATCTTCAGAATTCTGTAAAGTTATGAGCTGACAATACAGAAGAAGTAAGTATTATCTTATGTGAGACAAGGGGAAATTTTAAAACCTGAAAACAAAATTCTGAATCTTCAAGTCGAATGTTATTTCTTATTAATATAAAGATTTCCCTCTCAGTATGCAAAGACATAAAAAATAAATGCCTCAATAAAAATGATAAATTTTTTTAAAAGTAAAAAATTAAACAAATTTAACAATTTTGTCTCTCTAAATTTATCCTGAAAAGGAGATGGAAACATTTGAGACATTTTTTTTTAAGAGAAAAGCAAGTCCATCTGCTTTGGGAGACGTCATTGTGAAAATCAATGGAAGAATAGCTTTAAGTGACATTCAAAAGAATTTCTACATTGAACTGAGTAATGACTCACAAAAGAAAACCTTGTGGGGTTTAAACAAGGGGGAATGTGTGCAAAGTTATGCTTAGGAGAGAAAGGAATGAGAGTTTTGTTTGTTCTCTGATGGTGAGCAAATCAAGAGTTTCATTATACTAGGAGGAAGGATTCTAGTTCAGATTTTTCTCTTTCACATGTTCCCTTCAGACAGTTTCCATGCTTCAGTGAATGTTTTCTATTTGTATTCAACCAAAATTAAAAAACATTATCTGTTGAAGCTATTATTTAAACATTGTAAACTGTACAACACAAATGGTTGCTAGTTTTCCATATGTGCACCAGGTTGTGCAAAATGTTATAAATAGATTTTAAATAGGTAACTACAGGGAGATTTTAATCTCTATTATTTATAACTCTTACCTGGCTGTACCAAGAGAAAAGGTGCTAAGGCAAGAATAGCAGTATCTTTGTCAATGTTCTTTTGACTACTACGTCAGACTTCCAAGCATCTATCCAAGCTGTATCACAATAAATGAAATGCACTGTGACACATCAGTCAAAATAAAGAAACACACTTAGTATTTCAGAATACCTCTGTTCTTTATTATGAGAGAGGGATTTCATGGCATGAAAAAACTGTCTTCCAAAGAGGCATCATTTCAGTTCAGGACCCCGATTTCTGTATTTTAGTGGCAGAATGCATCAGGAAGAAGGAAAATTGTCACCAGCTTCTGTTGCCTTGACAACTTGTGTTGCCAAACAACAGGCTGGGTACCTTCTAGAAGGTTAAACTTCCAGGCTGCTGAGAGACTGATTGCAATGACAGCAGAATAAATACCTTTTGCTAGATGCTTTCATCATAGCAAAACAAGATAATATTTTGCATATTTTTTCACAACCTTTGATGCTCTTTCCCATTTTTTTGGTGTTATATTTGCTGATAGCATTGGCTGTAATTGATCTGAATTCTAAATCCTCGTCTAAGTCTCTTACTTTGGATATAAAATATTTTCTCAAATCCCCTCATGATAATACTTGTTTCCACACGTGGTCTTTTGTACAATGGCAATTTTTGGTAGGACGGCTGAAGAGAACAAATTATTAATTTTTATGATTTTTTTTTATTCAATTTGTCTGCACTTTCTCTGTTTGTAGGTGCTACAGTTTTAAAACATTTGTAATAATAATAAAATTACGGGGTGGGATTAGACACCTCTAGCTGCAGGGCAAATTTAAGGACAAATACAGCTGTTCCTATAATTGGCATGTCGATAAAGGCTACCTCTGGTGGGGTTGTAGCTTTAGACAAGCCTGTCTGGAGCAGATGGCGCTGAGCTTCTCTCTGATCTAAGACACACTATTATCTACAGACACCCAGGTGGGAGTCCTCTGATCAAATGTAGATACCTGAATTTAAACTAGTTTGTCTAGGTTCTTTTTATTGCCAGTGAAGAGAAATAGAGACTGTTAGGAAGAAATTTATTTCAACCTAATGTAGACTAATAAACTAGGAAAAAAGAGCTTTGCCCTATATCTTCAGATTTCTCTCTGTTGTCTATAAAAGAAGCTTAGTGTCTAGCTCAGGCACAGAGGTCTACTCAATGCCTAAAACTGGGTGTTCTGAATCCACTTTTTTTAAGGTTTCTGGAGACCCCAGTTATCATTGCCCTGGCCATTAACTGAATTTCATTTTGTGACTCTCCTGGACACTTCTGTTCTTAATTACATTAGTAGAGTTATTAGCCACTCCCAGCTACAGGTTCAGATCATCACAAGTCATTCAACATGCTTTAAACTAGCAGGCATCTGGGTTTGGCCCAAATTGCTCCGTGGGAAGGCACTTCTATGCTATTCTTTCCAAATATTTGTACTATATTCTTTAAATTCCTCTTAGTGCTGTGTTTAATTTGTGTTTGGGCATGAACAAATGAACAAATTATTTTTGTCTTCAATACAGCTGTCTGTATGTGAGCTGAATGTCTATGTTCTGACTATAATTGATGGAGATATGGGACTCAATGCAGTTGCCAACCTGTGGGCAGCCAGTGCCATTTCACACTCCTTAGGGTAAAAGAAACTTCAGAGTAAGGCTAACAGATATGGCACAGGAGCAATGGAAGACCTGTGCCATGTTGATCCAGCTGCAGGCCAAGTGATATACCTACAATATGATACCTAAAAAAATTCTAAAAATTATAACCTGGACAACAACTGAATTCTTCCCCTAGTAAGATGTTCAGTTGACCAGCTGTACCACAACATCATAAAATAGTTCCCTGACAACTGGTATAAAGGATAAGGTAATATAATTCAGTCAAAGCTATAAAGCCAATTATAGGTTCAAGGTTTATTATATATTATAGGTTCGAGGGTTAAAGCTTTTATTAGTTTTTGTTGTGAACAATTCTATCCAGAGGGGCATAGGGGCAGTGTTTGGAAAGGAGGTGAAGAAACTGTTTACAATAAATTATAAAAGCAGAGTGTTGATTGCTTCTCTGGGACTGCTTTCCAGAACTGTAGCAGTTTTGGAAACAGTTAACTCTTTCTGAAAAGAGTATGCAAACACTGTGTATGATAAGAATTCATTCTAAAATTCACCTCCTCATTTTCTACTATTTTGTTTATAAGTGATTTGATTGTGTCTGGTTGCAAGTCGTAAATAAATGAATGTACATTTATAGAAAGCACTTCAACATTTTCTGTAAGAACCTGGTACAAAACAAGCTTAGTTAATTCTGTGTGTTTTTGATGTGCCTTCAAGTGAATTCCATTTTCTTATTTTTCTTTCTGTTTTCTGGGACACCTGGGTCATTTCTTTCCTCTACAGCCACCTTGGAACCTCAGCCAATGTAAGTTGGGAGAGATTTGTTGATTTCGTTGACAATGTATTAATCTACTTCATCTTAGAGTAGCTCCAGAGTTGTAGGAGGTGACTGTATAGAACCAGACACGTTCAGTATATATTAACAATATCAAACTTCTATGCCAAAGGTATAGATGCAGCTTCCTCCTCTGGGAGAAGGACTCACCAAATATGCAGTGTTTCACACATGTATTTAAAAAATATGTTGTCAGAAGTAGTGTGCCTGGTTCCTCTGGGCTCAAGGTACTGACACTTACGATATCTTTTTCCTTTATCTGCCAGTGATCATGGAAATTTTTAGAGTGATAATACTGTCTTTTTTCTTTCTCTCTTTCACTAAAAAGTAATCTAACTTCTTTTTATTTATTCTTATATCCCAGTTTTACTTCTTTAATCTCAATCTTCTATTTCTCCTTATAAATCAAACACCTGTTCATAAACATCTTCAATGATTCTGATAGGAAGTAAATCCAAAAACAAAAGATAAAATAAGTCATGGTTTAGGATTTCTCTGTGGAACAACAAGCAGAGAGGATTCTGGTTTACAAAAATGAAATAATTTTCTCTGCAAGCTCCAACTGTCCAATTCACTGCCATAGTTACCAACACATATGTTTTGGACAGGGTAAGTATTTCATACTACTTATCTGTGAGGTCCCATACAGGAAACTATAGATATCTCTGAAGCATTGAAATTTTTAAATTTAAAATCCTTTCACCTTTCTTAAAAGAAATTAAAAGAAAGTAGTTGAGATTATAGATGAAGAAAATGCATAGAATTATTCTTGATTTCTGTTATTTATATGCTGCTTGAGAAAAAATGTAACAACATCTCTGATTACTCCTAACCTTCAGTAAAACATTGATTCAAATATACTGAGGTAAGAATTTATTCTTTGATACAGAAGTCAACTGAAAAGAAATTAGTAAAAGTTATTCAAACTCTTTATTTAACAAACAAACAAACAAAACCCCCCAAAACCAAAACAAACTTTCAGGAAGGCCACCAAGAAATAACACACAATGAAACTAATACTGATTTACCCTGAAAAATTGTTTTCATGAAAATCTAACTAATTGGTTGGCATTTGTTGACATTAAGTTTCCAGTGCAAAAAAAGGCCTAAATTCTTCTGCATGCTTTCTGTAAAAGGAGGAGAAAATGAAAGGAAGAAAAGTGCCTCAGATTGGATTTCACATTTTATTTAACTAGATTCTTATAAAAATTACCAAAATACCATATTTTATATCTATTTAAATATTAATACAATTTGTTAGTGGTATATGGTGCTTGGTCATCCTTTGCTGTGTGGATACCATATGCTTTATACTGGGTAACGCAGGATCTTATGCCAAGGAGGAAAGATTGTTTTGCTGTTTCTTCTAGAGCACCTCTGTCTGCTCACCGAAGTGGTGATTTTGGGATGCAGTACAGGGCAAATAGAGAGAAATACATCCAACACAACATCCTGCACTATGACTTCAGACTCACTGACTCCTCAGTCGTGGTTAAGCTGAACTGAGCTGAGGCTGGACGCACTAAATGCAGCTGCCTGATGTTACCTGAGCCAGAAGTGATTGCTGAATGGACTGAAAATTATTCCTGTTGCAAAAAAGCATTAGACAAGTCCGTAAGGCCAGAGCATGAGAGGACAAGACAGAGGAAGAGGAAAAGCTTTCAGCAGTACCAGAGTGACACTGGTTTGGAAAGCCTTCTGAAAACATAAGATGTAAGCAGCAGGAGGGATTTTCTGAGGCATGGATCAAACCCACAGCCAAGCCTGACTGATGACAGTGAAAAGATTTTTTTCTCTAGAAATCACTGGACTGGCAAGCCATGCAGAGGAAAGAATTTCTTACACGGACATAGTGGACAGTAATTTTTAAGCCTTTTTATTTAGTTTCATTTGAGAGACTAGAATTTTCTCCATTTTTATAGTCTACTTGTGCTATGATGAAAAAGTAACAGAAGTGACCAGATATATTTGATTTCTGGAGGAAGATGGGTAGTTACAATAATTTTTATATTACTTTTAAGAAAGAGGAAGGAAGGAAGGGAGGAAGGGAGGAAGAAAGGAAGGAAGGAAGGAAGGAAGGAAGGAAGGAACTGTTTGTTTAACCAGTTTAACCTGACCTTAAGCAAGTCATGTTTCCAACCAAGGCTTTAACACAGGAGAATTCAATGAGTTATAATCATAAAGATATGACATTTACAAAACTCAGGGCTATTAACAAATTTCATTGTTTAGGTGCATTTTCTCTCTGTCACAAAAATTTTGAGTTTCTGGTTTTCACTAAAAAGATAAATCAGGAGGATTCTGTATTTTTCAATATAATAACAAAAATTTAATGGACCAGTGTAATGTGAAAATCTTTCTTACAGCTCCTAAGGCAGAAAAAGACTAGTGAGCTCAGATATATTTCAGTTATTACTTATTACTGACTAAGGACAGTCTTAAAAGAATATACAAGAAGGCAGGTAAAAGAGAATGACACAGATTCTTAAATAACTTTATTAATATGTGCTGATGACAGAGCTTGTTGAAATATTTTCAGTAAGCACTGCATTAAATGAGTTTAAACAATCTATTTGCCTTTATGAGCAGTGAA